GACCGAAAACAAAAACAAAAATAAAACCCACCTCCCCAAAGCCAGAAATTGTATATCCTTGCATACTGCTGCCTCTGGTTTGATCCCTGGGATGTGTGAGGTCAGAACCTGAGCACAACTGTGCATATCCCTAAAATGAAACAAAAGCAACAACAAATAGTCTTGGGCTCAGGGAGACTGATCAGAGGCCCAATTTTTGCATGTGACGCCGGTAGATGCATCCAAAGCATGATCCCCAAATGGATCAGCTTGGAGCCACCTATTCCTCCTGTGCTGCCCCCCCTGCCCACACCCCCCCACACACAAAGAAATAAAATAGTCTTGAGAGAGTAGAATTTAACAGAATTTGAGAGCTAAGCAGAAGGCTTAGAAGGCAGCTATTTGCCTGATTCTAATAATCACTTAATCACTTAACTTCCCGTTAGTCGTCGATTTGCTCGAGCGGGCGCCAGTAACGTCTCCATTTGTCCCTGTCGCGTGCTAGTGTAGCCCAATGGCATCTCTTCGCTCCGGGAACATGGAGGGCCTCAAACCGATCGTTCATGACCTTGACAAAGAAGTCTGACCATCTGGTAGGTGGGCGGCCACGCGGTCTCTTGACATCCCGTGGAATCCAATCAGTAACAGCTCTAGTCCAACGGTCGTCTTTAAATCTCATTACGTGACCAGCCCATCTGATTTTCGACACCTTGGCAAATGAGACAGCGTCCCTGATCCTTGATCGTCGACGGATGTCAGAACTCCGGATTCGTTCTCTCATTTGAGTGAAACGTGATATTCCAAGCATAGCTCTTTCTATTCTTCTTTGGGAGACCTGAATGGCGTTCTCATCTTGTTTGCGTAGGGCCCAGGTCTCTGAGGCATATGTTAATGCAGGAAGAACAGTGGAATCAAAGAGATGTGCCCGGAGCCGGAGGTTCTTCGTCCTCTTAGCTATTTCTTCGACGTTCTTGAAGGCGTTCCAAGCCGCTCTCTTCCTCCTGCGCAGCTCGGGTGCCAGGTCATTTGTCATGTTGACCTCTCGACCTAGGTACACATAGCTGTTGCATTCGGAGATGGTCGTTCCATTGAGAGCGAATGGGGCGTCAGGAACAAGGCTATTTCTCATAAACATTGTCTTCGTAAGATTCAGCTGTAGTCCTACCTTTCCACACTCACGGTCAAAGTCGGCCAGCATTTGTGCCGCTTGGCTGATGTTTGGTGTTATTAAAACAATGTCATCAGCAAAGCGGAGGTGGTGTAGTTGCCGACCATCTATCTTCACTCCCATTCCTTCCCATTCCAGTCGTCGCATGATGTTCTCGAGGGTGGCACTGAAGAGTTTTGGTGAAATGGTATCACCCTGCCGCACCCCTCTCTTGACATCAACGATCACTTCTTTGTAGAATGGTGAGATCCTGGTAGTGAATCCGCAATACAGCTCACGGAGGATCCGGATGTATTGGGCTTGAATGCCCTGATTGGCTAGGGCTTCAATGACCGCTTCCGTCTCAACAGAATCAAAGGCCTTCTTTAAATCAATGAACGTTAAGCAGAGCGGCATCTTGAACTCCCGAGAAACCTCAATGAGTTTGGTTATCGTGTGGATATGGTCGATGGTGCTGAATCCTTTGCGGAACCCTGCTTGCTCACATGGTTGTCCTTCATCTAGTGTTCTGCCAATCCTATTCAGGATGACTCGAGTGAACAACTTGTAGATGACAGACAATAGGCAGATCGGGCGATAGTTGCCAATGTCATGGATGTCTCCCTTCTTGAACAGTAGTACAGTCCTGCTGGTTTTCCATTGAGATGGAACCTTGCATTCAGACAGGTAGCGAGTGAAGAGCCGAGCCAGTGTATTGATGAGTACTGACGGCAGGTTCTTCAGGTGTTCAGGTCTGACCTTGTCTGGGCCGGGTGCTGTTTGTTTCTTTACCGACGAAATGGCGTGTCGGATTTCGGAAGGGAGAACATTGGGAACGACATACCCATCCTGTGGAATTTGGTATGTCGGCAAGTGGACATGGCTATCAAAGAGATTTGAGTAGAAGTCATGGATAATCTTCTCCATTGCCGTTCTGGAGGATGTGATGGATCCATCAGGACGTCGGAGGGCAGTCATCTTGGTCTTATAGTTGGCGAAGGACAGGCGAGCGTTACGAATACTTTTCCCGGCTTCTGCCGCATCTACCAGTACTTCTGCTCTTCTCTCTTTGAGGTCTTCCTTGATCGCATCTCTGCACTGCTTTGCAAGCTCGGACGTTAGCTTGCGGTTGCCTGAGGCATGCGCCAAACCACGCTGGCGAATTAGCTCAAGAGTTTTCGAAGATAGGCGACTTTTTGTGGCTATCTCTCTCTTGGCGTTCCTCGCACATTCATGGAGGTGCTGAACCAGTCGATCGTATTCCTCGTCAATGTTGTCAACAATGGCATCTTCCCATGTTGCCGCAATAGTACCAAAGAGTTCCCAGTTGGTGGTCGTTCTGGGAGTTCTCTTTTTGAACTTTGCAGCCCTTTCTCCCCGCTCTGTGAAGTAGAATTTTGCACGAAGGAGACGGTGGTCCGATCCCGTTCGAAATTTTGGGACAACAGCGACATCAGTCAGCTATACCTCTATACCTCTCGGAAAGACTGGCAAGCTACCGAGAGTATTCCGCCCGCACGGAGTATTCCGCCCGCACGGAAGAGCCTGGCAAGCTATCCGCTGTGTATTCGATATGCCAAAACCAGTAACTACAACTGGTCTCATTCACCTGACCCTGAAGGCTTCACCGACATGGCAGCACTGAGAAGGATGAGAAAGGAGAGGCCGACAAAATCTCAAGGCCGACCTAGGCTGCCACAACGAAGGAAGACAAAAATGATCGTCTGTACTTTCAATGCACGTACGCTAGCATCAGATGCATCCATCGAGGACCTGATGGTACAAGCGCGAATGATCAAGTACGACATCATTGGTCTGACTGAGACAAGAAGGCACGAATCTCACCATGCCGTTTTCGACACTGGAGAAGAATTGTTCCTCGGAACATGCGATAAAAGAGGTGTTGGAGGCGTCGGTGTCCTTATCAACACAAACTTGGCCAAGAGCATTGATTCATTCGAATGCCTAACAACCAGAATCGGACGTTTACATTTGAATAGATGTGGCTCACTGCCTGCAGTTTCTATCTTCGTTGTCTACGCACCAACATCTCATTATGATGAAAGAGAAATCGAGAAGTTCTACATGGAGCTAGAGAAATTCTATAAAGAAGACCACACCTTCTACAAGATCATTGTGGGTGATTTTAATGCCAAGATAGGACCGAGAAGATCAGCTGAAGAACTTCACATCGGAACCCATGGCCTAGAATGGAACGAACAGGGTGAGAGACTGTCTGAGTTCATCATGTCGACCAAGACCATTCATGGTAACTCACAGTTCCAGAAGGCAGAATCTAAACGATGGACATGGGAGTCTCCCGGTGGACGATTCCACAACGAAATAGACCACATCATATTCAATCGACGGTTTTGCCTGACTGATGTCGCTGTTGATTCTAATAAATATAGTTTAAAGAAAGAAACTGCATTAGCAATGTATGTTGGGCAGGATGATAGGGATGAAGATGAAGCGTAACGGGGAGGACAAAAACTGAGGTTGGGGTCGGGGGCAGAGAGACAGCGGGCAGAACGTTTGCCTTTCACGTGGCTGACCCAGGACCCAGGTTAGATCCCCAGCATCTCATATGGTCCCCCAGCACAGCCTGAGTGCAGACCCAGGAGAAACCCCCGAGCATCACTGGGTGTGGCCCCCAAAGAGAAGAAAACAGAACAATCCACCCCCCTCCCCACAAAGAAACTGAGGTTGGAGCCGGAGATAGCAGAGGGAATATGGCAGACTCTTGCTTTGCACTCGACCGACTGGAGTTCGATCCCCGATACCTCATATGGTCCCCCAAGTGCCGGTAGGAGTGATCCCTGAGCACAGTGCCAGGAGAAAGCCTGGAGCACCGCTGGGTGTGGCCCCGACCCTCCCCCCCAAAGGAAAAAAAAGTAAAAATTTAAAAAAAGCAAAAGCAGGCCGGAGAGATAGCACAGCGGGTAGGGCGTTTGCCTTGCAGGCGACTCACCCAGGTTCAATCCCCAGCATCCCTTATGGTCCCCCCAACACCACCAGGAGTGATTCCAGAGTGCAGAGCCAGGGGTAAGCCCTGGCATCGCTGGATGGGATCGAAAAGGCAATCAATCGGGGCTGGAGAGATAGCACAGTGGGTAGGGCATTTGCTTTGCAGGTGGCTGACCCGGGTTCGATTCCCAGCATCCCATAGGGTTCCCCGAGCACCGCCAGGAGTAACTCCTGAGTGCAGAGCCAGGAGGAACCCCTGTGTACCCAAAAAGGAAAAAAACAGAAAGAAAAAAGAAAAAGCAAGCAAGCAATCACAAATTAAAAAAACAAAAAAAAGCAAAAGCAACAGGTTGAGGACTCTGAGAGGGCGGTGCTGATAAGATCAAGATGAGACAATTTCAGAGGACCCTGGGTGGAGGGGGGAAGGGGGGCAGATGACTGGTTCTGGGAGGGGCTCATTTTATTTATTTATTCATTTATTCTCCTTTTTGGGTCACACCCGGCGATGCTCAGGGGTTACTCCTGGCTCTGCACTCAGGAATCGCTCCTGGCGGTGCTGGGGGACCATATGGGATGCCGGGGATCGAACCCGGGTCGGCCGCGTGCAAGGCAAACGCCCTCCCCGCTGTGCTACCGCTCAGGCCCAAGGCGCTCATTTTAGAAGTGACCCCGCCTCCCATCTTCGTCGGGCCGAGCCGGGCCTCCGGCCGCGCGGCGGGGCGGGCCGGAGCAGACCACGCCCACTCCTCACGTCATCATCCCGCGCCGCGCGGTGGCGGCTCCTCCGCCGGACTGCAGGCCACGCCCACTCCACGCCATCAGCCCGCGCCGCGCGCCGGCGGCTCCTCCGCCCGGCTGGCACGGCCCTCGCGGGGCCTGGCACTGCCCGCTGCGGCCATGGCGCCGCGCCGCGCTTCCTGAGCGGGCGAGCGGAGCTCAGCACGGGCGCGGGGGCCCATGGCGGCGGCGGCGGCGGCCCTGGCGGCGGCCGATCCCCCGCCCGCGATGCCGCCGGCGGCCGGGGCCGGGGGTCCGGCCGCCCGCCGGGACCTCTACTGGCTGCGCTCGTTCCTGGCCGGAGGTGGGTGGCGCCGGGCGCCGCGGCCGCGCCCAGGGGCGTCGGGCTCGCTCTCGGGCCGCCGTCGGGGAAGGGCCCGGGCAGGCCCGCCGAGGGAGGGGGCGCCCGCCGCGGGCCCGCCTGGGCCGGGTCGCTCCGCCAACCCGGGGTCGCGCGTCGGAGCCGTTTTCCCTGCGGTGCGGCGGGGGGAGGCGAGGAATTCGGGTCAGCGGGGTGGGTGGGTCGGGGGAGGGGGGCCTCGAGCGCCGCCGACCCGGGTTCGGCTGCTCTCCTGCCTCCCCTCTGGCCCCTCTCCCCGCGAGCACCGCCGGGAGGGACCCCTGAGCGCCGGAGGGTGTGGCCCCCCAAGCCGAAGAAATTGCTTTGGGATTTTTTTTTTCCCCCCTTGGGCGGGGGGCACGCGCCGCGGTGCTCAGGGGCTGCGCCCGGTTCTGCAGGCGTCACGTCATCAGCTGTTCGTGCGGGGACCTCGTGGTGCCCGGCCGGCCCTTCTGCCTGCGGAGCTCGAGCTCAGTGCTCTGCACCAGCTCGCGGGGCAGCTGGCTTCGTTTTTATTTATTTATTTATTTATTTATTTTTGGTTGTTTGGTTTGGCCACACCTGGCGGTGCTCAGGCTCTGCACTCAGGAGTTACTCCTGGCTCTGTCCAGGGGACCCTATTGGGGGAGGAGGATCTAACCTTGTGGACACCGATCAAGGCAAGTGCAGCCCTACCTGCTGTACTATTTGTTGGTTTTTTTTTTTTTTTGCTTTTTGGGTCACACCCGGTGATGCACAGGAGTTACTCCTGGTTCATGCACTCAGGAGTTACTCCTGGCGGTGCTCAGGGGACCATATGGGATGCTGGGAATCGAACCCGGGTCGGCCGCGTGCAAGGCAAATGCCCTACCCGCTGTGCTCTCTCTCCAGCCCCTGTACTGTTCTTTTGACCCCCAGCTAGTTCCTTTCTGAGCATGTTACAAGTAGGGAGGAGTGGAGTCTCTGTTAAGATGTAGATGAGAGTAGCAACCAGGATTCTTGCTAATTCTGCTTGCTGATGGAGATGTAAGTCGGTGTAGCCTTTGGTTGGGAAATGAAGCTGAACAATCAATCATAGGACACATAATCAGCCACTCCCAGTTCCAGTTATCATAGTTCTGTTCACATTTTCCACGTTTATAATAGATGCAGTATTCCCAAAACCCAGATGTTCATTAGGGCTAGGATGAGTAGCTTAAGAGGTAGATGAAATGAAACGGGCTTCAGCACAATATTATGCAGCACTGAAAAATGAGTGAAGTCCTGCTGTTTACTAAAATGTGGAAGGCTCTCACAGCATATTAATGAGCATAGAAAGCCAGGCTCAAAAACAATGCACGGTATGTGGTTTTCTTTGTGTAAAATATCAAAAACCATCAAAACTGAATCCAAGTTGAGGCTGCATAGATAGCTTGGAAGTTCCCAGGGAAAGACCATAGAACTCCGCCAGGTTTGTCCCAAAAATAAGAACCAAGTTCATATTGTTTCATGTCTGATCACTTTTTTTTCCCTCCGAAGAAAAAGGAAGATGCTGATTTGGGGAATAGAGGAGACTTCAGGGAGACTGATACTCTTTTATTTTGTGGGGGTTCACACCTGGTGGTGTTCAGGGCCTCCTCCTGGCTCAGGGATCACTCCTGGCATTCAGGGGGAACCATGTAAGGTGCGGGGGATTGAACCGAGTTTGAATGTGTGCAAGGCAAGTACCCCACCCACTGTACTATCTCTCTAGCTCTTATATGTTTATATGACTCAGGATTGGACCTCGGGCCTCACACTTGCAAGGCTTATCTTTTATCCATTTGGGTGGTCCTTTGGGGGTATTGGTATGATTTCTACACTTTTCTCTCTATTTCCTTCATATCATTACACTGATCTGTTAAAAGAAAAAAATGAATTTTTTTTTTTTCTTTTTGGGTCACGCTCGGCAATGCTCAGGAGTTACTCCTGGTTCCTGCAATCAGGAATTACTCCTGGCGGAGCTCGGGGGACCATGTGGGATGCCAAGGATTGAACCCAGGTCGGCTGAGTGCAAGGCAAATTCCCTACTTGCTGTACTGTCACTCGACCCAAAAAGAAAATGTTTTTGTTTTGGGGACATACTCAGCGGTGCTCAGGAGTTATTCCTGGCACTGCACTTAGGGACTACTCCTGGCTGTGTTCAGAACGACATATGGGATTCCAGGGACCAAACCCAGGTTGGCTATGTGCAAGGAAAATACCGTACCCATCTACTATCTCTTAGGCCCTAGAAAGAAAAGGAATTTGAACTAAAAGTGTAGAGAGTTTGACAGAGGACTGTTCGTGGGGGTTTTGGAGGAAAGCCACAACTAACTCTGAGGTCAGACACCAGTCCGTTCCCTGCGGTCGGGACCATGCCTGGCAGTGCTAAGATACAAACTAGCCACAAGTGATAGACAAGGGAAGCACCTTACTGACTGTACTTGTTGACCCCTGTGTAGGTTTTAATTGGGTCACTGCCACTGTCCTCCCGTTGTTTATTGATTTCCTCGAGTGGGCCCAGTAACGTCTCCATTGCGACACTTGTTACTGTGCTTGGCATATCAAATATGTCACGGGGAGCTTGCCAGGCTTTGTCGTGCGGGCGAGATACTCTCGGTAGCTTGCCGGGCTCTCCAAGAGGGGTGGAGGAATCGAACTCCGGTTGCTTGCAAGGCAAACGCCCTACCTGCTATGCTATCACTCAGTTGGGTATATGTTTTCTTTTGTCTTCAGTAGATAGCTGTGGAATGCTGCTGTAACAAAGTCTTGTATCTCACTATAAGAAATTGTCAGAGGTTTTCTAAAGTTTTTTTTACATTTTATATCAGTACTATCTTGTCAGTGCTTGCCATTGTTTTATTTTTATTGTAGGGGCACACTTATCTCTGTGACTCTGTGTGTGTGTGTGTGTGTGTGTGTGTGCGCGCGCGTGTGCATGCTCATGTGTGTCTGTGTGTCTTTGTGTCTGTTTGTGTGTGCTCGTGTGGTGTGTCTCTGTGTCTGTGCGTTTGTGCGCTTCTGGGATCTAACCCAGAGTCTCATACTTGCAAGTCCTGTGATTGGGCCACATCCTGTCTAACAAGCATTTGGTGTTATTAGCCTTGGTGTGCTTTTTCATTTTAATAGGTGTTTAGTTACATCTAATTATGATTTTAATGAGTATTTTCACTGGTGCTGAGCATACTTTTATGTTTGCTTTCAATTTTTTGGACACACTGGGTGATCTTGGACATTTCTCTCAGCGTTGCTTCGGGGGCTTTGTGGTACCTGGGGTCAGACCTGGCCTTCCTGCATGCAAGCAGGTACTCGGCCCTATGATCTGGCTCTAACTTCTTCCAGATTCTTGTACCTTTACTTGATAAAGATTTTTGGAAAATACGTTTAACTTCCTGAGTCATCCTGAACAGGATTGGCAGAACATTAGATGAAGGACGACCACGCGAGCAAGCTGGTTTCCGAAAAGGATTCAGCACGATTGACCATATCCACACGATAACCAAGCTCATTGAAGTTTCTCGGGAGTTCAAGATGCCGCTCTGTCTAACGTTCATTGATTTAAAGAAGGCCTTTGATTCTTTTAAGACAGAAGCGGTCATCGACCGCTAAAGCGGTCATCGCCCTAGCCAAACAGGGCGTTCAAACTCAATACATCAGGCTCCTCTGTGAGCTGTATTGCGGATTCACTACCAGGATCTCATCGTTCTACAGGGAGGTGATCATTGATGTCAAGAGAGGGGTTCGTCAGGGTGATACCATTTCACCGAAACTCATCAGTGCCACCCTCGAGGACATCATGCAGCGACTGGAATGGGAAGGAATGGGAGTGAAGATAGACGGTCGGCAACTACACCACTTCCACTTTGCTGATGACATTGTTCTAATACCAAACATTAGCCAAGTGGCACAAATGCTGGCCGACTTTGATCGTGAGTGTGGAAAGGTCGGACTACAGCTGAATCTTTGATCGTGAGTGTGGAAAGGTCGGACTACAGCGGAATCTTACGAAGACAGTGTTTATGAGAAACAGTCTCGTTCCTGATGTTCCATTCACTCTCAGTGGAACGAACATCTCCGAATGCAACAGTCAAGAAATCAGCATGACGAATGACCTGGCACCTGAGTTGCGCAGAAGGAAGAACGGCTTGGAACGCCCTCAAGAGCGTCAAAGAAATAGCTCAGAGGACAAAGAACCTCCTGCTTCGGCATATCTGTTCGATTCCACTGTTCTTCCTGCATTAACATACGCCTCTGAGACCTGGGCCCTACGCAAACAGGATGAGAACACTATTCGAGTTTCCCAAAGAGGAATTGAAAGAGCTATGCTTGGAGTATCACGCTTCACTCAAATGAGAGAAAGAATCTGGAGTTCCGACCTTTGTCAACAATCAAGAATCAGGGACGCTGTCTCGTTTGCCAAGGCGTTGAAAATCAGATGGGCTGGACATGTAATGAGATTTGGAGACGACCGGTGGACTAGAGCTGTTACCGACTGGATTCCATGGGATGTCAAAAGACCGTGTGGCCGCCCACCTACCAGATGGTCAGACTTCTTCGTCAAGACCCTGAATGGTCGGTTCGAGGCTGTTTGTGTTCCTAGAACGAGCAGACGCCCGCCATTGGGCTACACTAGCACATGACAGGGACAAATGGAGATGTTGGTGCCCGCTCGAGCAAATCGATGAGTAACGGGATGTCAAGTGATCAAGTGATGCTTAACTTTGAAGATTGTATAAGAGCTTTTGGTCCAAGTGATATGAAAAAGTATCTCGAGCAAGTAACTTAATCGCCTTGTATCTTGATTTTCCTATCCTAAAAATGGGAAAATAAGAGTAGCTACCTCAGAAGGTTGTATGATTACCTCAGGAGGTGCCTGTAAACCTTCGGCATAGTGCTCAGACAGAGTTAGTAGTCATTGATGACAAGCTGTGACCTAGGCAAATCATTTGCGCAAAAGGAAGATGGAAGCAGCCTGACCCACCTAAGGCAATGGAACGTTGTGATCATAACTGAATTATAAAATAATAAGCAAGTTAAGATACTCTTAAAGGAGACAGTTTTTATTAAGCATAAACTAAATAATTCATTCCATGGTTCACTTATGACCATGAAGATAATGTAATGAGATATTCTGAAACCAAATATATCGAAAATACAAATTATTTTCAGCTTTTTCTCAGTTTTGGATTGCCTTGAGTGTCATTTCCATTATTTCCTTTGTTACAGATAAGTGAAGCTTGGTAGGGCTGGGGGGAGAGCTGAAAGGCTGGAGCCTGTGCTTTGCTCTCGGAGACCTGGGTCAGTCCCCAGCAATGCCCCACTGAGTATTGCCTCCCTTCCCACTTTTTTTTTTCTTTTTGGGTCACATCCCTGTAAATAGAATGTGTCCTTCTAAAAACCCCAGAGAAGTACAGACAGTACAGTAGATAAAGCACTTGCTTTACATGCAGCCAAACCCCACTATCATTCCCGGCACCCCATATAGTCTCCAGAGCCCCACCAGGAGTGAACCTGAGTACAGAAACAGGAAGAGGTCCTAGGTGTGGTCAAGTGTGGTCCAAAAATCCCTTGATTTGGGAAGAGGGGAAGTCTTCAAAAGATCAAGGTCAACGAAGCTATAGTACAGCAGGTAGGATATTTACCTTGCATGCAGTCAATACAAGTTTGATCCCCAGCATCCCATATGATCTCCCAAACACTGCCAGGTGTAATCCCTGAGCAGAGAGCAAGCAATAACCCTTGAGCATTGCTGGGTATGGCCCAAACAAACCAAAAAAATTTAATAGAAAACAAAGTGGAGATGGGGGCTGGAGTGATAGCACAGCGGGTAGGGCATTTGATTCCCAGCATCCCATATGGTCCCCTGAGCACCACCAGGAGTAATTCCTGAATGCATGAGCCAGGAGTAATCCTTGTGCATTGCTGGGTGTGACCCAAAAAGCGAAAAAATAAAATAAAAATATTTTTTAAAATGTTCGTACTCTCAGCAACCTCAAATTTTTTGTTGTTCTGGGGGGGGATGGGGGGTGGGAGGGATGCTAGGACCCGTGGTGGGGGAGGATGGGCACTGGTGGAGGGATGGGTACTTGATCATTGTATAACTGAAACCCAAGCACAAAAATTTATAAGTCTATAAGTGTACTTCATGGTGTTTCACTAATAAAAAAAATGATAAAAAAGAAAAAAAAATTTTTTGTTGTTCTCTGCAGTTTGTAGAGTGGCATGTGGTAGGGACCAGTACAGATTGCTAAATGTTTAAATGCCTGACTGAATTTTATGTCTAGAGTTGATTATTTCATTGGGAAAGTTATCCGGAGGAAAATATTACTTCAAACATAGGCTTGTTGGGTAAATACTTACAAGTGTCTGCCTCCATAATCACATTTAGCAAATCCCTCTTCAAACTCAATTTAGGTTTGGCATGCTCAGTCATTAAATTATAGGAAATGGGGCAGTCATCTGGATATAGCTGCTTCTGGGTTGTTTTAGCCATGGAGACCAAATTAGATATCCGAGAATGTGCCGGCTGAGCCAGTAATGCTTCTTTCTGACCTTTTAAATATATTTTAGGCATCGCTGGGTGCTGTGCCAAAACAACAGTTGCTCCTTTGGATCGAGTGAAGGTTTTATTACAAGCACACAATCACCATTACAGACATTTAGGTAAGTCATCAATACTAAAGATAAGCACAAATGAAAATGTGATCTGTTTGCCGACTTGGTTTGGAAGTGATGATGAATTATAGTGGAAAGCGATCACAAAAGGGATTCAAGTTCGGGGGCAGAATTTGTAAGTGATGCATTTCTTCGATCAATTTGCTCTAGCGGGCCCAGTAACGTCTCCATTGTGACAGTTGTTGCTGTGTTTGGCCTATCAGATACGTCACGGGGAGCTTGCCAGGCTTTGCTGTGTGGGCGAGATACTCTCGGTAGCTTGCTGGGCTCTCCGAGAGGGGCGGAGGATTTCTTACCTGTTGGAATTTTTACTTTTGCACTAGTGGTTCTATAAGATCTTCAGAATATTGATGTTTTCGGAATCAAAGTGGTGGAATCACGGAGGAGGTATTTGTTCACTAGAATTAACAAGTCACCCCCGATGTCGATACATTTAAGAGCTCAGCATTATTTATTTTAAAATTGTTTTTATTTTTATTTTTTGGGTTTGGGGGCCAATAGTGATGGAGTTAGATTTATTCTTTTTTGGTGTTTTTAGTTTGGGCCACACACAGCAGTGCTTAGGGTGTACTCCTGACTCTGTGCTCAGGGATCTCTCCTGGAGGTGCTCAGGGACCCTGTGGTGTGCCAAGGATAGAATCTGGTTTGGACATGTGGAACCCATGGGGTATCTATGTGGCCCTCTAATTTTTTTTTAAAAAACTTTATTTATTTATTTATTTATTTATTTTTTGCTTTTTGGGTCACACCCGGCGATGCACAGGGGTCACTCCTGGCTCTGCGCTCAGGAATTACCCCTGGTGGTGCTCAGGGGAGCATATGGGATGCTGGGAATCGAACCTGGGTCGGCTGCGTGCAAGGCAAACGCTCTACCCGCTGTGCTATTGCTCCAGCTCAGCCCTCTAATTTTTATTTTTTCATTGAATTTTTAAATTAAGACATCATGGTTTGCAAAGTTATGCATAGTAGAGTTTCTAGTGTTCCAATACCCTTCCCCCTACCAGTGTCAGCTTCCCTCCGCTTTGTCCCTGGGTTCCCTCCTACACCCCCACTCCCCCACCGCTTGCTGCTTGCCTCCTTCCTTATAAGGCACTTTTTTTTTTTTTTTGCTTTTTAGGTCACACCCAGCAATGCACAGGAGTTACTCCTGGCTCTGTGCTCAGGAATGACCCCTGGTGGTGCTCAGGGGACCGTATGGGATGCTGGGAATTGAACCCGGGTCGGCCGAGGGCGTTACCCACTGTACTATTGCGCCAGCCCCAAGACACTTTTTAAAAAAAATTTTTTGTTTTTGTTTTTCTGGGGGACTACACCTGGCAATACTCAGGGGTTACTTCTGACTCTGCACTCAGGTGTCACTCCTGGAGGTGCTTGGGGTCCCATATGAGATGCTGGGGAATCGAACCCCGGTCAACTGCGTGCAAGGCAAGTGCCCTACCCATTGTTCCATCTCTCCAGCCCCTTGAGAGGCACATTTTAAACTTTGGTTGCAGTTTGGGTTTCCTGCTTGCAGTGTTCCTGATTCTGTGGTTTAGATGTACGTACACCTCATCTCTACATCATAGATGTGTCTGACACTGTCACCTTCTAGTCTCTTCTTTTCCTTCATGATCTCTTTCCCCCTGTGCCCTCATTTCGATAGTCTATCCAATAGGCCCCCAACTCCCCATCCCCACCCCAACCCCCATTTTTTTTTAAAGCCTTTTCTTTGTTTTTGGTTCTTGAACACAAGGGTGCCCGGAGGGATGAAGGCTGTGGTTGACTCAGTGCTCAGATCCCTGTAGCCGCATTTTCTTGTCGCTGTTTCAAGTACTAAATCAGTCTGTGCTTGAAACTGAAAGGAAAAAAGTTGTCATGTCTCTGTGACCAGCAATTTGGTTTTTTTGTTTGTTTTAATTTCGGAGGCTCACACACGGTGGTTCTGGGGATTCCTCCCAGTTCTGTCCTCAGAGGTCGCTCCTGGGCCTTCAAAGCGCATGCTCAGACATTTTTGCTCCCTGGCCCGGCAGTGACTTCTGTATATCTTCACAGTATGCTCAGACCTTTGAACTAATAGCGATAAGAGAACACCGGAAGGCAAGGAAATGATTTTCTTCTGTTGTGGAAATTGCGTGTGTAAAGGAGATGAATTGTGTTATCTGGTATCTTGGGGTGTTTTACAATGACTCAACATGGGAATGTCTGTGCAAGATTGTTTTACCCCTGTAACTTCCATGCTGACATGTTTTCGTTTGGTCTCCTGATGTGTGATCATTAACTTCTGCATTCATAGCAGATTTCACGCTCTGTAGGACCGCATGCCATTGGCAGCAGTGGGCCCTGTGAGGCATGCGGGGTTGGAAATGGTGTGCCTGCAATGCAACAAGAAACTGTTGCTTCAGTGCACATTAGAAAGATTTGTTGATTTTTTTTTTAAAGCAGTGGTGAGTTATTCCTTGTGCTTAGGTGTCACTGCTGGCAGTGCTCAGAGGACTTTGTGGTGGCAGGGACTGAACCTGTCACCTATATGCAAAGTGCTGCTGTCTCTCTCTTTTTTATTTGGGAATTACTCAGGAATTACTCCTCACGGTGCTCAGGGGACCATATGGGATGCTGGAAATCGAACCTGGGTCGGCCGCGTGCAAGGCAAATACCCTATGCACCGTGCTATCACTCCAGCCCAAAGTGTTGTCTCTTTAGCCCCTTTACTCCTCTTCCTCCTCCTTATACCCCTCCTGCCCTTTCTTTTTCTGGGCCACATGCAGCAGTGTTTAGCAATTCTTCCCTGTCCGGTCTTCTATGGTCACTCCTGTTTGTGCTTGGGGACCATGTGGTATCAGGGTTGAACCCAGGCCTCCTGAGTGCAAGCAAAGCAGCGCATCCCGTCTGTTGACCTGTCTTCTCTCTCCGGCCCCAGAGAAGCATTTAAATAACTTTCAAAGCATTTAAATAATATTGAAGCTTGGGAACAGGGATGTGGTTCAGTGGTAGATGTCATGTATATGTAAAGCCCCTGGTTTGAGTCCTGGTACTGCAAACAAACAAGCTAATATATAAGTGTTATATAAGAGATACACAGTGGACTTGACACCTTATGGGTACATATATTTTTTTCAAACATGTGGGTAAGTAAAGGCCCTCCCGTTGATCGTCGATTTGCTCGAGCGGGCCCAGTAACGTCTCCATTGGAGACTTTGTTGTTACTGTGTCTGGCATATCGAATACTCTCGGTAGCTTGCCGGGCTCTCCGAGAGGGGCGGAGGAATCGAACTCGGGTCGGCCATGTTGGCCGCGTGTAAGGCGAACGCCCTACCCGCTGTGCTATCGCTGTGGGTAGTGTTTTCAAAAATTGGTCCAGGGTAAAGCCATAAAGAAAATCTGAATTCATTTCCCCAAATAGAAACTGTACAAACTAGGTTGAAGGAGAAAAAATTATGTGATCATCTCAGTGAATATTTAAAACCCGTTTCTAAGCATTCAGTATCCATTCTACCTGTTTGTCCTTTTTTGTTTGGGGGTGGCCCCATTGGGTGGTACGTGGGGTGACTTGGCGATGTCCAGGATCGAACACAGGACTCCCGCACTCAGAGCACGTGCTCCAGGGGCTGGAGCAATAGTGCAGTAGGTAGGGCACTCATCTCACGCCTGCCGACCCTGCTTCCCTTCCCAGTACCCAGCATCCCACACTGCCCTCAACATTCCAGGAGTGATTCCTGAATGCAGAGGCAGGAGTAACCCTTGAGTTTTGCTGGGTGTTCTCCCCCCAACCAACAAACAAACAAAACACTGCCCTCCCGTTGTTCATCGATTTGCTCGAGCGGGCCCAGTAACGTCTCCACTTTGAGACTTCTTGTTACTGTGTTTGGCATATCGAATATGTCGAGGGGCAAGATACTCTCGGTTGCTTGCCAGGTTCTCCGAGAGGGGCGGAGGAATCGAACCGGCTCGGCCAGGCTGTCTGCGCGCAAGGCAAACGCCCTTCTGCTGTGCTATCAGAGCACAACAATAATAAAAGCATGTGGACTAGTGCTTTGTACTGTGCTCTGCCCACTGTTAGTCCTTGTTCATTATTTTAAATAACAGTTTTGGGTGTGGGGTTTTTTTTTTTAACCTTTTGGGTCATACTCGGTGGTCCTCAAGGGTTACTCCTTCAGGAGCTCTTCACTCAGGAATTACTCATGGTGGTGCTTGGGCCCTAAGGGATGCCGGGGATCAAACCTGGGTCGGCCACATGCAAGGCAAAGTCTCTACCTGCTGTACCATTGCCCAGGCCCTCTTAAGTGAAAGTTTTATAGTAAACAGTCAAGTACGGTTTTTAACAGAACTTGAGAACCTTTGTCTTTCAGTAGAGAGATTAAGGTTTTTTTTCTTTCACTCACTGATTTATTGCTGTTTATTGTGCTTTGTGGTCTTCAGCGCCTGTTTTCTTTTTCCAAGCAGCTCATTTTCAGTGATTGTTTATTATTGTGTCGGTGACATGGTTCTAATAGTGTCATTGTTTATGGTATTGATGTGCATAGTAGCTGTGCCCCTCCCCACTGTAGCACCCACGATGCTGCACTGCCCTGTGTCACCTCTAGTCTACCTCACTTAGCACAGTGCTCAGGGGCTGGTCTTGGCTCTGTGCTCAAGGATTACTCTGTGCCTCTCGCTTGCGAAGCCCTTTGTTTTTGTTGTTGTTGTTACATACCTATATATTTTTTTTAATTTTTAAATTTTTATTTATTTAAAAAAAATTTTATTGCCAAGCCCTTTGAACATGGCTGAGTTTGAGCATTTCTAGATTGCTACAGTTTATCTATTTATTTACTTTTAATTTTTGGTTTTTACGTCATAACGGTGATGCTCAGGGATTACTCCTGACCCTGCACTCAGGAATCTCTCCTGGCGGTAGTCGGGGTACCATATGGGATGTAGGGGATTGAACCCTGGTCTGCTACATGCAAGATAAGCGCCCTACCCACTGTATTTCCACTGTGTTGTACTCAGGCCCAGATAGCTACAGCTTAATGTAACATGCAATTATTATAAATATACACTGAAATGTAGCTATTCTTACCGTGAAACTTTCTATTTTTACTTGAAGGCATGTTTATGTAATTTGGATATAATGTATTTTAAGAAGGTTTATTACACAGAAATTACTATATATGTAATTCTTTAAACACAGTTTATGTCACGATTAATAGTTTAGTGAACATTTCCTGTGAATATCATGAAAATTGTCATTGAAATAGCTTTCTCTGTTCTAATAGTATTTTCCTCCTAAAAATCTTTATAAAACTAGGTGTGTTTTCGACACTGTGTGCTGTTCCCCAAAAGGAGGGATACCTTGGATTGTACAAAGGAAACGGTGCAATGATGATTCGAATCTTTCCATATGGTGCAATCCAGTTCATGGCATTTGAACATTATAAAACGGTACTTGAATTTTTATCTTGTTTTACTCTTTTGTGTTCTGGAGTGTCATGCTTAGTTGACAAGAATTTGTTTTGACTTCAGATTACTTTGGAAGAGTATATAAAGTAATGCTGTTTTGTGGTTTTTTGGGTCACACCCAGCGATGCACAGGGGTTACTCCTGGTTCATGCCCTCAGCAATTACTCCTGGCATGCTCAGGGGACCATATGGGATGCTGGAAATTGAACCCAGGTTGGGCCGGTTGCAAGGCAAACGCCCTACCACTGTGCTATCGCTCCAGTCCCCAAGTAATGCTGTTCTGAAGGAATTAGACTTGTGATCACTTAAATGTTTATTTACTGTGGTTTTATTTTGGTAATATAAGAGAGAAAAGAGAGAGGAGCTGCCATAAAAGAAGCAGGTATGGGTGGGGATGTGGCTCTTTGGTAGAGGATTTGCCTGTGTGCATTTAATTACTGGATTTGATCACTGGCTTTGGAGTGAGAGAGAAACAGAGAGAGTCAGGAGAGGGAAAGAGGGAGAGATGGACCATTGTGATGTCAGGGGAAATCCTGGGCCTCCTCCACGAAATCATGTGTTCAGTCTGCTGACCTCTTATCTCTTCCCTGTTAGTTTAATGATTTTTCTTTTTCTGCTTTTTGGATTAGACCCAGCGATGCTCAGGGGTTACTCTTGACTCTGAACTCAGGAATTACTCCTGGAGGTGCTTGGGGGACCACATGGGATGTCAGGGATTGAACCCAGGTCGGCCGTGTGCAAGGCAGATGCCCTGCCCACTGTACTATCGCTCCGGCCTTCCTACTGTTAGTTTAAAACTTTAAATATAACATTATTTTGGAGTTATTCCAGAACTGTTAATAATTTTAGAGTGAATTGCTAATATTTATACATATAAGAAGAGTCCAAGTATCATTAAGTACATATTAATATACCCGTAAATAATGCAAGTTTTTAAATTTATTTCTTTATTTTGAGTTTTGGGCCACGGCCGGCAATGCTCAGGGATTACTCCTGGCTCTGTGCTCAGGAATCACTCTTGACAGTGCTCAGAGGACATATGGGGTGCTAGGGATTGAACCCAGGTGACTGCAGGTAAGGCAAGTGCCATGTGTGCTGTGCTAGCTCTCCGGCCCAATGCTAGGTGTGTTTTTTTTCCCTTTTCTTTTTGCATTACACCCAGCAATGTTCAGGGGTTACTCCTGGCTTTGTGCTCAGGAATCACTCCTGTTGATGCTTGGGGGACCATGTGGGATGCTGGGAATCGAACCCAGGTCGGCCTTGTGCGAGGCAAACGCCCTACTCACTGTGCTATTGCTCCAGCCCCCAAAGCTAGGTTTTTTTTTTTTGTTTTTTTTTTAATGTAGGAGTACTGCTAATTATTCAGCCACTGATTAGCTGATTGAATTGGGCATGAACTCCATCTTACTTTTTTTTTTATAATTTTATTTATTGAATCACCATGAGAGCAGTTACAAAACTTTCAGGTTTAAGTCTCGGTCATACAATAAAAACACCCGTACCTTCACCAGTGCCCATTCTCCACCACCAAAACCCCCAGTGGGGCAGATGATTTCCACATTACTCTCTCTCTACTTTGATTACATTCAGTATTTTGACACCAGACCCACTATTATTATTTGGGATTTTACTCCAGCACTCAGATCTGCTGAAAAGGCAACCGTAGACAATTTGTTTTCTATTGCTGGTTATGAATAACTTATGATGTCGCGTGGTTGCAGTAGTGGCCGTGCGATTTTGAAATTCTGAAATGTTAACAATGAAATCTGGAGGGATTTCTGCCAAAACCTGCTGGGTTCCGAGATTTGTTCCTGAGTCTCTGGGATTGTGGCTGTTAAGCAGGTTGATAAGGAGCCAGAAAGGCCATTCATGGTTGGCGACATTGGGTCTTGTTGGGACGGAGAGGAAAGGGCCAGCTCCAACCCCATCCCGTGAGGCACTGCATGTCTCATCACTGTGGGCCCAAACCTGACTGTCCAGTGGCCTCTGGTGGATGGCGGCCACCGAGCCGCCAAGGGTGAGCAGTTGGAGGGACAGCACCCTTTCCTCCCTGGGGTGGCCCGGCTACAGTAACCTACTGCAGGGACAGGACGCATTTCTGCTAAAAGCCTTTGGGTTCTGAGATTCGTTTCTGAGTCTCTGGGATCATGGCCATTAAGCAGTTCAATCAGGAACCACAGAGGCCTTGCCTCCAATTACATAGCCGAGCCGGAGGTGGTTTGTGGGTGTGTCTCCCACATACCTAACTTTTGGCTGTTTACTTTCTTGGTAAACTTTGCCCCAAGTTTTTGGGGTCTGACCAAAGGCACAGCAGCAATTTGGGGGATCTGGAGGTCTGAAGGCGCCATCAGGCTGCTGATGCACTCGCCTCACAGGTACAGACTGACCTGCTGGCGGCACATACCCCCAATGCAGGCTTTTTTTTAATGTACTTGTTTGTTTCTTTTTTTTTTTAATGTATTTAATTATTTAAAAATTTTATTGAGTCACCGTGAGATACAGTTACAAACTTTCATGTTTGGGTTACAATCATACAGTGTTCAGCACCCATCCCTCCACCAGTGCACATTCCCCACCACCAATTTCACCAGTGTATCCCCCCTTTCCCACCCTCCCCTTTCCTCCCTGGCAGATAATTTCCCCCATACTCTCTCTCTAACTTTTGGGCATTATGGTTTACAATACAGATACTGAGAGGCCATCACTTTTGGTCCTTTATCTACTTTTTTTTAACTTATTTATTGAATCACTGTGGGAAAAGTTACAAAGTGTTCAGGTTTAAGTCTCGGTCATGCAAATATCAAACACATTTCCCTTTACCAATACTTATTTTTCACCATGAAGAACCCCAATAACCTCCCCCCCCAGCCCTCCCCAATGCCTATGAGGCTGATGAATTCTAGTTAACACTCTATCTACTTTGACTAGATTCATTGTTTCGATAAAAGATGCACCATTATTCTTTAGAGTTTATGACACCCCCCCCTCCCCAATCAGACATGCTGAAAAAGCGTTGTGAAATGATTTGCTTTCTACAGCTGGGTTCAAGAATTAAATGATGTCGTGCGGCCGCTATTGTGGCTGCGCATTTTTGGATTTCTGCTTATTTACTTATTGACCCTGGAAGTATTTCTGCTGAGAGTCAGATAATTAAGAGATTGGTTTCTGTGCTCTGGAGCCATGGCCGTGCTGGAGAGCCGCTCGTGGGGGGCAACTCGTGACCTCGGTAGGGCGTCAAGGACGAGCCAGAAACACCCCCCTTCCCATGAGGTTTCAGTCGCCCCATCACAACCGGCTCATACCTGGCTTTCCATAAAGCTCCGAAGCGGCTGCCATCTTTCTTTCCAGAGGGAAAAAGCTGTACTTGTTTGTTTCTCAACTACTGAAGAGGAGAGTTGTGGCTCTGGATTTTCTTATTAAATAAAACAGAAAATAAATAAAATAGGAAGACCATATTGTTGAAGTGAGTTATCAGTTAGCACCTTTTCTCATCTTAAGCATTAAGTTTTGGGGGGGACCCAGAGCGATAGTACAACAGGGAGGGTGTTTGCCTTATTTGGGGCCAGCCAGTGCTTGACCCCCGGCATTTCATTTGGACCCCTGAGCACTGCCAAAAATAATTCCTAAGTGCAAAGCCAGGAGTAACCCCCCTGAGCATCACCAGGTACACCCCACAATAAAAAGCATTAACTTTTTCTTCTCTGGCTGTCTGGAACTTAGTTTTCAAGCATATCAACACAGATGTTGTGTGTTACATTCTTTTAATTAATTATATTTTGAGTTTTTGGGCCATAGCTATCAATTCTCTGGGCTTACTCCTGGCTCTGTGCTCAGGAATTATTACTGGCGGTACTTTAGGGGCCATATGGGGTGCTGGGGATCGAACCTGGGTTTTCCATGTGCAGGACAAGCACCCTCCTTGCTGTCCTATCTCTCCAGCCCCTTTTTAATTTTTCAAAAAAATTAAATTTGGGGGCCATACCTGACTGTGCTAAGGCTCCTTCTGGCTCTGCATTCATTGAGCAGTCCTCGTGTATCTCTGGAGACCACACACGGTGCTGAGGATGGAAAGCCACATGAAAGGAAGGCACCCTATCTGCTCTTCTATCGCTAGTGTATTTTATTCTTTGTAGGGCTTGTTTTTATTTTGAGGCCACACGTGGTAGTACCCAGGGCTTAATCCTATCTCTTTGGTCCAGAATCCCTCCTGGTGGGGCTCAAGGAACTTCCATGGGTTGCTGGGGATTGATCTTTGGACAGCCACGTGGAGGAAAAGCACCCTACCCCTGTACTGTCTCTCCAGTCCCCATACGTTGTCTGGTATCGTGAGGTGATAAGTAAACACTAGAGATGAGGGCAAGTATTCTAGGCTAATGGAATTGAACCACAGTGTACCAAGACTTTATTATAGTTTGTAGCAGCAGTTTTGCTTCCTACCACTCACACTTGAGTTTGGGTCATCGAAGTGGTGTGTGTGAATGTAGTTCTAAGATTGCTTCTGTAAAGGCGCAGGATTAGCAGAAGAAACCTCATCGTCTCACATCGACCGTCTTCATAGAACTATATGCTCATTTTGCTGATTTAATACTAATTTTCTTTTTCACTGCTTTTGTAACTTTGTTGCATGCCTAAATGTTAAAACTAGTTTAAGATAATGGTGGGATTATTAAAATAATAATAATGCTTGGCATTTTTTGTCTCTAGTTTATTACGACAAAACTGGGAGTTTCTGGTCATGTACACAGATTGATGGCTGGGTCCATGGCAGGTAAGATGAGTGGCTAGATTTGATTTCTGTTCCTTCTTTTTTGTTTTTGTTTTTGTGCCACACCCAGTGAAGCTCAGTTCCTCCCGACGTTGGGCTCAAGAGTTAGTCCTGGTGGTGCTTGGGGTATTTCATTGCATGCCGGGATTGGGATTGTACCCAGGTTGGTAGCGTGCAAGGCAAATGGCGCTACCTGCTGTACTGTTTCTCCATTTCTTTCTTGCTCTTGCTTCATGGTCATTGTTAGAATTTCCTTAGAAAGATAAGGGGAGGGAGGGGGTAGAGGGGTGGGGGGGAGGAGAGAGCTTGCGCCCAGGCTTCTTCAGAGTGGGAATGAATGCATAGCAGAGAGACTGACAGCAAGTGAGATGGATTCAGGGGAGAACAGGGGCTTCGAAGAGCGAACCTCTACCTTGCACTTCGTTTCTGTCATACGAAATCGCAGAAATGAAGGGAGGTCCTCGGACCCGGGCAGGTCCCAGTTCTCTCAGAAAAAGAATGACCAGCTCTGGGGTAAAAATAACCAGACCATCAGTTACCCCAAATAGCGAGGTTTGGACAGGAGCAAAGTGATAGTCTGTTAGCTCCCACTGGCAGAGGAAGGCAGCCGAGACCTCAGCAGAACCTTTCTGGGTGCCCCCAGGAGCTGTTTAGACAGAGAGGCAAGGTACGGCACACTTCTGTATTCACTGCCAGAAACCCTGGGGGTTGAGTGAGCACTGCAGGAGAGGAGTGTGTGGTACAGAGTCTCTGAGTCATTTCCTGCACAAACTGGACTAAACCACCTAGGATTTTCCCATGGAACTCAGTCAAACTACTTCATTCCTCTCCAGCCCCATAGCCCAAAGAAACTCTTTTAGGGAATGGGGCAAAGATCTGGCTTTGGTAGTTTCTTTCTGCGGAGAAGGGATGAAGTGAGGCACAGGTGGGCTTCTGGGAGTCTGTCTGAGTTTAGGGGTCCATAGTGAAGAAGGGTCCCCTTTGGTCAAGGGGTGACTTGAGAATGTGGCTGAGGGTGGGAGGGGTCCCGTTTTCTTAGGAGGTTATTACCATTGGAACATGATGTGTTCTAGAGAGAAGAGAATCGGTTCTTTATTAGGCAAAGAAACTGGGGCCTGAATAGCAAGGACCATTGTAACCAGTGACCCCAGAAGAGGAAGAGCTTGGATAGTCACTGGGGATTAACAAACCAGTTTGTCCAGTTCTTCTTTTGTTTTCTTAGATGAATAAGTGGCCCATTCATCAAGTTTTCAGCCTGTGTGGTCTTTAGGGCACTGTCTGAACTTTTTTTCCTTTATTCCTTTTGTTTTGAGCTATACCTGGTGGTACTCAGGGCTTGCTCCTGGCTCTGTGCTCAGGAGTCACTCCTTTCAGTGCTCGGGGGACCATATGGGGTGCCAGGGATCAAACCCCAGTTAGTTGCATGCAAGGCAAGAGCACTTCCCACTCGACATTAAGGACAATCCAACCTTAAAAATTAAGATTAAGGGACGGGAGATTAAGGCTCCAGCCTCTTAATCTTAATTTTTGTGGTTTTTTTTTTCCTTTTTCCTTTTTGGGTCACATCCAGCGATGCTCAGGGGTTGCTCCTGACTCTGCACTCAGGAATTACTCCTGGTGGTGCTTGGGGGACTATATGGGATGCCAGAGATCGAACCCGGGTCCGGCTGCATGCAAAGCAAACGCCCTCCCTGCTGTACTATCGCTCTGGCCCTCATAATCTTAATTTTTAAGGTAGCATTGTCCTTGAGATAATGTGACTAGTTTTTTCTGTGTCTGTGCAAACAAGATATTGCCGTATCAGTATGTAGAAAAGCTTAAGGCCCGTGCGGTAGTACAGACCCAAGTCGGGAAATTGTCTTGCACGTGGCTAACTTGGCTTTGAGCCCCAGCCTCTCCTATGGTCCTCTGATCCTTGCCTGGAGTGTCCCTTGAGTGCAGAGCCACGAGTAAGCCCTGAGCAATGCTGAGTGTGCCCCCAAACAAACAAAACACACATACACACACGGTCGATCAATTCATCCCAGCTGTTTCCCTGAACTGACGGTGCTCTGAGAGGCAGTTGCTGCCAGAACCTGGAAGGAAGGACAGTCCACAGGGCAAAAGCCCTGCCTGCCAAGAGACTTACCCAGAAATTGGTGGCTTTAAGTTGGCTTTACAGTCCAGCACTGTATTTTACATTTGGGTTGGCTTGGGGACAGGTTGAGAAACAACCTTTTGTACCAACCTTTTGATTGGGAGTTGCTGGCGCACGAAGGGAATTTTGTGGAATAGAGTAACCTGGAAGCCTTTCGTAAGAAGGCAGTGTCTCAGGCTGGCACCAAAATGAGCCATAGAGTCTTTGGTTTATGATGGTTGGTCCCTTGAGATTTGCTCTAAGAAATTTTTTTTTTTTTGCTTTTTGGGTCACACCCAGCAATGCACAGGGGTTACTGCTGGTTCATGCACTCAGGAATTACTCCTGGTGGTGCTCAGGGGACCATATGGGATGCTGGGAACCGAACCCTGGTAGGCCGCATGCAAGGCAAATTCCCTACCCGCTGTGCTATTGCTGCAGCCCCTGTTCTAGGGAATTTTTTTTTTTTTTTTGCTTTTTTAGGTCACACCCAGCGATGCTCAGGGGTTATCCTGGCTCTGCACACAGGAATCACTCCTGGCAGTGCTTGGGGGACCATATGGGATGCCGGGGATCAAACCCAAGTTGGCCACGTGCAAGGCAAACGCCCTCCCCGCTGTGCTATAGCTCCGGCCTTCTAAGGAATTTTTAATTGTCCTGACTAAAGAGGAAGGGAGATTTTTTAGCATATTTTTTAGTTTTTATGAAGAGATACACAGTGGTGCTCAGGGCTTACTCCTTAGTCTGTGCTCAGGAGACCATATGCAGTGCTGGGCATTACTCTGAGGTTGGGCGCATAACAAGACAAGTGTTTATTTCCCGTACTATCTTTCCAGCCCCATGTTTTTAGTTGTTTTAAGGGGGCCCATGTTAGAGAGAAGCAAACAGACATGTTTTTGGATAAGAGAAGTGTAACAAAATAGTTGATAACTTTTTGTTACTGTGCTGTCTGTATTTATTCATTTGGATTTTGGGGCCACAATTGGCTGTGGTCAGGGCTTACTCCTGACTCTGTGCTACAGGGTCACTCCTGGGGCTCTTGGGGGTGCCAGGAACTGAACTGGGGTCAGCCTCATGCAAGGCAAGTGCCTAACCTTGTTGTCTCTGTTCATTGGTGAGTTCCAAGGTGTGATGTCATTAGCATTTTCTAGCTTGCGGCAATAATGTCTAATCGGAAGATGGAATTATAGGAAAGGGTCCTGTGGCTATCCGGAATTCCTGGCCTTACGTAGAAACAGAATGTGCCGCAAGGGTGAGTCATTGGAGATGGGCGAGGGACAAGACTTGCTTGTCTTTGATTACTTGCCTGGCATGTCCCCTTAGGCGGGGAGCAAAGGACAAAGCCTTTGGGCAGGCGGTGGGGTGTCCCACAGTGGACTGACTCATCTGGTGTCTGTTGTTCAAGGCTTTCCAACCGACTGGACTCAGGCCTAGGCTTCCGGGAGTCACCGGGGCTAAGTGAGTCATTCTCTTTGTGAGGGGAATGGAGGAGTAGGGGTGATTCTCTGATCTCTGTCTGAAGTCCGTATGACAGCTCAGGGCGAAAATGTTGGGCCTGGAGTAGAGGTGTCAGAAGGTGGTCAAGAACAGGAAATTCAGGTTTGTTCAAAGAAGGAGTGAGATCGGGGAGAAATAGCAGACCTCTGACGCAGCTTAGTGGACAGGAGAAAGGCTGCAGACGTGACCAGGCCTGGGCTGGGTCTCTTAGGGTTGCCCTCTCCTCAAGCCTTTCTGTCCTTCGCCTTCCCCTTCGAGAGCCTCCAGCACCTCGTGGCTGAGGGAGATGCCCCCAGATCTGCCAGATTTGCAGCTGAGCTTCCAAATCCCCCACAGAATCCCCCGGGTCTCCTGACTGGAAAGAGAAGGAAGGGTGAGGATGTGTAACTCAGCTTGACGTCTGGGTGCCGAAATGAAGAGGGTTCCTTGACCCGAGATCCTGAGGGTCTCATGGGGATGACTGGTACATTTATTAGAGGGCAGAGCAATGCCACAGTGGGTAGGATGTCTGCCTTACACACGTCTGACCCAGGTTCGATCCCCAAGCGCCGCCAGGAGTATTCACTGTGTGCAGCGCCAGGAGTAAGTCATGAACATCGCTGGGTGTGACCCAAAAAGGCCCCCCCCCATTTTTTTTTTTTTTCATTAAATAGTGAGAGACAGGAGCTGTTTAGACAGGAGCAACGTGATAGTCTGTTAGCGCCTGCTGGAGAGCCACTGCCTTTCTGGGTTGCCCCCCAAGTAGCCGTTTAGATAGGGGGGGGTAAGGTAAAATCATATTATTGTATTCACTGACCAGTAACTCTGGGACCTTGGGGAGCTAGGTGAGGAGTGAGTGATGCAGATGGGGAGCACACAGCCTACTAGGGTGGCGAGTGAGCACTGCAGGAAAGGAGTGTGGGGTGCAGAGGACAGCATTTGTGAGCATGTTTAACTGTTTCTGAAACATTCCCTGCACAATCTGGACTATCCTGGGATTTTTCCACAGGGGCTGAGTCAACCACATCACCAATTTTCTTTTTTGTGTAGGTATGTGTTGGGGGGGAGGGGTCACACCAGGTGTTGTGTGGGGCTGTGCCGAATGCTTCTTGGGGATGGCACTGGTGGTGCTTGGAGAACTGTATGTGGTGCCAGTGATTGAATCAGGGTCAGTTGCATACAAGGCGATTACCTTCATCCCTGTGATCTGTCTGGTCCAATTTTTGGTGTTGGGGCCACACCTAGCAGTGCTTGGGAGCTAATTCTCACTCAGTGCTCGGGAGTCACTCTTCGTGGTGCATGGGGACTATGTGGTAACGGAGATCAAACCCAGGCCTCCTGCATGCATGCAAAACATTCATTCAGCTGTTTTTGTTTCATTTTTTGGTTCAGGCTATGTTCAGGGCGTACTCCTGGCTCTGTGCTCAGGGATCACTCCTGGCCGGTCTCTGGAGACCTTCCAGGGTGCTGGAGATCTAGCCTGGGTCAGCTGCATGCAAGACAAGCACCTTCCGTGCTGTGCTGTCTCTCAGGCCACTAACCTAATTATGGTTTGTTTTTTCCACAGATGAGTTTACTCAGCCCCTCATTGCAGTGACAGAGGCTCCTTGTCCTCCTCCCAGCGAGGATTTGACTTAGTGGAGGGCCTTCCATGTCAGGGATGATGACTAGATGTACGATTTTTTTTTCCCTTTTTGGGTCACACCCAGCGATGCTCAGGAATTACTCCTGGCTTTGCCCTCAGGAATTACACCTGGCAGTGCTTGAGGGACCATATGGGATGCTGGGAATCGAACCCGGGTTGGCCGCGTGCAAGGCAAATGCCCTCCCTTCTGCACTATCACTCTAGCCCAGATGTCCGTATTTCATAAATGAAAGTTTGCTGGGTTTGAGCTCTGTTGGTGAAGCGGCTCCTTTCTTTGCAGGCATGACAGCTGTTATCTGTACTTACCCTCTGGACATGGTCAGAGTCCGACTCGCATTCCAGGTGAAGGGGGAGCACACGTACACAGGAATCATCCATGCCTTCAAAACTATTTATGCAAAGGTATTTCGTAGTTACTTTTCGGACCAGTAATGTCCTTTTGTATCTTAAGATATTTCGAACATGATTTTAGTATTCTTATAGTAATATTTCAAACTAATATGAAAGCATGTCTATTTTATATTCGCATAGGTCCATAATAATTTTTCCATTATAATGTCCTTGAAGTTTTTTGATGTTTATTGTAACGGACACAGTAATCTCACTTCAAATGTTTCTTTACTTGCAAGGAGGGCGGTTTCCTTGGGTTCTACAGAGGCCTGATGCCAACCATACTGGGAATGGCTCCATATGCAGGTATGTTTCGCATTTGGCATAGTCTTGGTGTCTTGTGAAAATGGTAATTTTTCAAAGGTTTACATTTAGATGTAAGCTCCTAATATGTCTGGATCTTTTTTCCCTTTGAGGATAACCACCTGTTTCAGTTTTTCTGGATTTTCCTCGGTGTATTTTGTCATGTGGGGATCTAACCCAGTGCCTCCATGCAGGACTCCACTGCTCAGTCACATCTCTGACCTGGGTTTGAACGGATGCTTTTTGCTGGCGCCAGCAAGCAAGCCCACATCTGTTCCCTGAGCAGCTCTTCAACTGAGCTGTTTCCCAGCCCTTGAGCTGGTACTTATTTAATTGGTTTCTTTCTTTGTCTTTGTGGGGCTGATTGGGAGGCAGGACACACCTGGTGGTGCTTCGGGCTTATTCCTGGCTCTTCACTGAGGGATCACTTCCGGTAGGTCAGAGGGATCTTGTGTAGTGCCAAGGATCGAAACCAGATCGGGCTTTTGCAAAGCACACCCTACCTGTTGTACTGTTACCCTGTCCTAATATTTATTTATTTCCTTTGCAAGTCAAGCCCAGCAATGCTCTGGCTTACTCCTGATGACGCTTGGGGGACTCTGTGTGAACTAGGATAGGTCACATGCAAGGCGAGTGCCTTGTTCTGCATATCCAGACCATTGGGAGAGTTTGTATCTCATCTGATCAAGCTTAGGAATATGGGTTTCCTGGCCTTTGTATTCTGGCTGCGCTGACGCCTGTGATTTCCTTACAGCGGGAAGCTTAACTGTGTACATTTTGCTAGTGGGATACAGTTTTATTTTTTCCTTGAATTTCTGTACAATAGGACCTGTTAGCCTCAAAATTTTTTCTCGAGGGGCCAGAAACATTGCACAGGGGGAAAATGGGGTTTCCCTTACATCTTGCTGAGCCCCAGTGCTATCCCCATATATTTTCTCCAGGGCACTACCGGGGTCAGTCCTGAGCCAGGAATATCTGCTGAGCTTTATCAGTATGGCTCCAAAGCCCCCAAATTAAATTGTGTTCCCTCTTGAATTGGTGTTTAATTTTGTCATATTCAAATTCCTGGTTTTTCAGGGGTAATCATATAACTCTTGGTTTTTGTCTTTCAGTGTGTCAAATGGCATTAAGATATTAATGTGTCTTTTCTAGTTATATATAATAGCTTTATTATATTCCACTGGATTCAATTTGCTTTTTTTTTTTTTTGGCTTTGCAATAAGGATCTTTTTTTGGCTCTGCACTCAGGGATCACTCCTGACAGGTTTGAGGGACCATATGTGGATCTGTTGCATGCAAGACAAACACCCTACCCACTGTACTACTGCTCTGGCCCAAGCTTTCAATTTTTTTTTTTTTTTTGCTTTTTGGGTCACACTTGGTGATGCTCAGAGGTCACTCCTGGCTCTGCACTCAGGAATCACTCCTGGCAGTGCTCAGGGGACCATATGGGATGCTGGGAATTGAACTGGGTCGGCTGCGTGCAAGGCAAATGCCCTACCCACTGTGCTATCGCTCCAGCCCCCCAAGCTTTCAGTTTTCTTAATGCTATTCTTGTATGCATTGGGTATCAAAGGTTGTTCTCTATGACTTTTATATTGATAGTGTCAATTTATAGGTTGTTAAAAATCAGGTTTTGAGCTTGAGAGGTTGTAGTTATGCCCTTGAATGAGGCTGACCCTGGTTTGATCCTTGGCACCGTGGGGCACTATTTGGCAGGTGGTTTTCGGCTTAGCTGACTGTGTGGCACTCAGGTACCACTAGGACATTACCAGGAGATGCTAGGGAAGAGCATATAGTGAGGGGATTAGCATCTGGAGCTTTGCACATGGGTGACTTGTGTCTGCCACTGGAATTGGGTCCCTGAGCCTTTGTAAACTTTTCCAGTATTTAAGTCCTTGTGGTAGAATCTCCAAATATAGAAGTATGCAAATATTCTAAAACTATATATCATTATATTGCATTTCTTTATTCTTTCTTTCCTTTTTTCTTTCTTTAATATATTGCATTTCTTTATATAATCATGTTATGGTACTGTCATTTTTGGACTAAAGAGTAAATACATTTATTGTGGTAATTTACTAACAGGAATTTTGTTAGTATTTATGTGTTCTTGAGCCTCAGTACCTTGTTAAGTGATTTGATTTCATTTTTGTTAATTTTGACTTTTGGGACACACCCGGTGATGTGCTTCTGGCTTTGTGCCAAGGGATCAATCCTAGCAGGTTTGAGGACCATATATAATGCCAGGGATTCGCTATTATTTGAATTTATTTTGTTCTTGAGCCGCACCTGGAGATGCTTGGGGTAGCGCCTACCTGGTGTCCTATCACTCCCGCCCTTAACTCACTCTTGGACAGATTCTATGTCTTATGATTCAATATAAATATTTCCTTCGTTGTCACAACTCATCCTGGAATGTAGAATTAGACACTGAATTAAAAATAGCAATGTTGGTGGTAGGAAATGTAACTGGTGAAGGTTGGGTGTTGGAATGTCACATGACTGTAACGCAATGATGAACAACTTTGTAACTGTGTATCTCATGGTGATTCAGTTAAAAAAGGGGTGGGGTGAAGCATTGTTGAGTTCGGGAATGTGGCTCAAGTGGTCAAGCATATGGAGAGACCCTGGGTAACAATCCCTGGCACCACTTCAGCATTTCAAGACTGGTGCCCAAACACCTCAGAATGGGTCTGGGGACCCTTGAGCACCACTGGGCCCAAGCCTTGCGCCCCTGAGCACTGCCAGGGATGTTCCCCAACAGCATGGAGTGAAGAACGCAGTGCTGGGCTGCAGGATGGTCAAATCTAGAGCATAATCTGAGCGCGCAGGGCGCCAAGTTTGATCTCCAGCACCGAGCCGTCCCCCAGCTCCAAGTCAGGAATGGTGCGAAAGACAGAAGAGAGCGAGTGCTTTGGATAGGCTCTTGCTTCTCTCTTTATTGCCCATCATTGTCTTCATGTTGTCATATTTCTGATTAGTGATAATGAATTCATTTGGTATTCATGTGAAACAATGGTAAACTGTTTGATTCAGTTCATGCGTTCGGATGATTCTTGTTCACTGTTCAATCTTATTCATGTATACTGTATTTTTTTAAATTTATGGGTCACACCTGGCAGTGCTTAGGGGTTACTCCTGGCTCTGCACTCAGGACTCATTCCTAGTGGGGCTCTGCAGGTCATATGGGATGTCGGGGTCCACTCCTGGTCAGCCATATGCAAAGCTAGCACCCTTCCCACCGTATTATCTCTCTGGCCGTTCTGTACTGCATTTTTATACTCGATTGTACTCAACAGCTGCTTCATATCGTGATGTGACCTTTATTTTATTTTTTGCTGTTTGGATCATACCCAGCGACGTTCCTCTTGGCTCTGAACTCAGGAATCACTCCTGGGGGTGTTCGGGGACCGTATGGGATGCTGGGGATAGAACCTGGGGCCTCCACATGCCAGAAAATGCTCAACCTGCTGTATTATCTCTGATTCTCTGATGTCACCTGTGGTTCAGTATGTGGATACTAATTTTACAATTTTTTTTATTATTTTTCAGTGTATTTATAAACACTAACGATTATCTTTATGTCTTAGAATGAATAAAATGTCATGAGTCAGGAAGGTAGAGGGCTGGTTGCACGACATAATTTCTTAATTTGTAAAAATGATTCTTTGTACAGCTTCTGTTTTGCCAGTCCTCATGGCGAATTTATATTTTGTTTTTTCAGGTGTTTCCTTTTTCACTTTTGGTACCTTAAAGAGTGTTGGGCTTTCTCATGCTCCAACCCTTCTCGGCAGACCTTCATCAGACAATCCTAACGTTTTAGTTTTGAAAACCCACATAAACTTACTTTGTGGTGGTGTTGCAGGAGCCATAGCACAGACAATATCGTAAGTTTGTTCCTCAACTCCGTTCGCTTACCCCTGCTATTTCCAGTGCTGGCTAATCATCCCCCGCCCTCCCCCAATAGATTGTTCATAGGATCCCCTATAAAATATAAAAACTAGGGCTGGGGAGAGAGTACCGAGATCAGGCGCTTGCCTTGCATGTGCTGGTTTAATCCCCAGAGGGAGCACAGTTCCCCCAGCACTGCCAGGAGTGATTCTTAAGCACCACAGATGTGACCAGACCCTAAACCCCTGCAAGAAAATAATTAATTTGGGGCTGGAGAGATAGTATAGCGATTGAGTCACTTGCCTTGCGTGCAGCCAAGACTGGTTTGATCCACTTCCACATAAGGGCCCCCAGTTCCCATCAGGGTGATCCCTGATCAGAGTCTGGAATAAGCCCTGAACACAGTCAGATGTGGCCCAACCAATCTCCTCCCAAAAATTAAAATTAATTTGAGAAATTTTCCTATACACACACACACACTTGAAGCATATTTAACATTTTGCTAAGTTGACCAAATTCGTTCAAATTCATTCAATTTTCAGAATTAATTGTAAAGTATGAATAACTCAGTTTGGCCTTTAGTTCGTGTTGCTTCTAGCGCCACCTGTGAGACTGAGGCCCAAGGCTCTGGAGGTTTTCTTTGCTCCTCTCCTCAGGATTCCTGGTCGTAAGACCTCACGCTGTCTTCACTGTCATGCGAGGTGCCTAGCCAGAGTCAGGGAGACAATTTCCTTTTTCTTTTTTTGCTTTTTGGGTCACACCCAGCAATGCACAGGGGTTACTCCTGGCTCATGCACTCAGGAATTACTCCTGGCGGTGCTTGGGGGACCATATGGGATGCTGGGAATCGAACCTGGGTTGGCCGTGTGCAAGGCAAACGCCCTACCCTCTGTGCTATCGCTCCAGTCCTGTCAGGGAGACAATTTCTAACAGTAACACAGAGCCTGTAACAAAAATTCACAAGAATTGTGATCTTCCACTCCTGGTGGTTTTTGCCTCAGTGGACATTTATTTATCCCTGGAGACATTTTAGTTGTCACAGCCTGAGTACGACATCTGGTAAGTAGAGAGCAGGAAGCATCTAAACATTCTGTCATCCATAACAACCTTGTTGAAAAACAAAACTCAAAACAACTGGCTTTGGTTTTTTGGGTCACACCTAGCAGGTGCTCAGGGCTTCCTTCTGGCTTTTTGCTCTGGCTTCACTCCTGGTGTGAGGCTCAGGACCATATGCAATGCTGGAGATCAAACCCACGTCAGCTACATAAGTGCAAGACAAGTATGCTTAACCCCTGTGCTGTTTGTCCAGCCCTCTAAATAACACTTCAAGTGAAAATCTGACGTCTTACTGGTCTTACTCAGATTCATGAGCTGGGCTACATCCTATCTAGCAAATAGAAAAGGGCTCCAAAGAGCGCCACAAAGTGAAAGACCTGCCAGGGAGAAGGAAGCAGGAGGAAGCAAGACATAGTGGGCAGAAAGAGATGGTTGTGGCAGGCTCACTTTCCTTTGAGAGAGGGGAGGGATCTTTCAGGCAGGTGACTTAACTAGCACTACTTTCATGTCTGGGGGGGCTGAATATGTAATCAGCTTCAGTCTTGGCTACATGAAGGTGAGTGGGCGTTTCCCAAAATGAGTCTATTTGGAAACAACTCTCATGCTTTTTAACAGTGCCACAACTCTGAATCATTCATTCTGGGACGGGACATGGAGCTCCTCAGTGGAGCACTTGGTTTGCATATGTACTCCCTGGCTTCAGTCACTGGCACTGCAAAACAAAACAAAAGAAGCACAAAACTTGGCCCGAGCAGTAGCTCAATCAGCTGAGTGCCTGCTGAGCCTGCAGGGGGCCTGAGTTCCTTCCTGATATCAAGTGATTCCCAGCACCTCTAGGAGTAGCCCTTGAGGGCCACCAGGTGTGGCTAAAACCCAAACCAACCGAAGTATCATTGAACCTGAAATGTTAGTGAAATGAAAAGGACTGGGCTTGGCCTTCAGGATGATTGTGATCAGAGAGATGCGTCCCTACCCAGAGGGAAGAGCACAGGTGATGGAGGAAGCAAAAGCAGGGAACTCCTGTTTTTCTCTGCTGTTTCTCATGTGCCCATCTTGACTCTCAGGTTAGGCAAAGCAGTAAACTCATAGGAATACATCATTTCCTGGCAGATATTTGCATTTGATGAGTGTGAGTATAGTATGAGAACTCATTTTGGTCTTTGTACCTTTGTCTTCTTTCAGCTATCCATTTGATGTAACGCGTCGGCGAATGCAATTAGGAACTATTCTTCCAGAATTCGAGAAGTGCCTGTAAGTTTTCCATGTCATTATTCATTTTCTTTAGGACAGTATAATTTTATTCACTTTCTTTGGTGTTTTTGTTTGTTGTTTTTGGACCATACCCAGTGATGCTCAGAGATTACTCCTGGCTCTAAACTCAGGAATTAAATATTCCTGGCTGTGCTTGGGGGCCCAACTAGGATGCTGGGGATCAAACCCAGGCCAGTCGTGCACAGGGCAATCACCCCACCTGCGGTACTATTGCTCTGGTGGGGTTTTGTTTTTGGGCCAGAGCTCAGTGCTCGGGGATGACTCCTGGCAGTGCTGAGGGGACGGTGTAGAACCCTAAGACCCCTGCATGTGAAGCCACGTAGAGCCGGTTGAGTTCTCTCTAGGCCTCCAGAAAAGAGTCATGATCCAGGGGTAGTTGCTGATCATGGCTGGGTGTGAACCCCCTCAAAAAACAAAAAAGCTGAAACAAAATAGGTAAGTAGAAGTTCAGGAATGTGTTTTCTTCAGTGGTCTAGATCAGAGGCCATGTTACTCACTGTGAGCCAACAGAATATTCCCAGGCCACCACAGGTGAAAATCGCATCAATGTGGGACAAACAGGATAGGGGCCCAGGAAGAAAACAAGGTAGGCAGGGGGCCACAGTCAGAAGAAAGTCGAGAAACACTGTCTAGATCTCTCTTGTTCTCTCCTATAGTGTATTTTGGTAACTTTTTTAAAAATTTTTTTTATAATTTTATTTATTGAATCACCGTGAGAGCAGTTACAAAGCTTCCAGGTCTAAGTCTCGGTCATACAATGAAACACCCGTCCCTTCACCAGTGCCCATTCTCCACCCCCAACAACCCCAGTATACCCCCATCCCACACCCTCCCCCTACCTGTGGGGCAGATGATTCCCACATTACTCTCTCTCTACTTTGATCACATTCAATATTTCGACACCAGACCCACCATTATTATTTGAGATTTTTACCCCAACACTCAGATCTGCTGAAAAGGCAACAGGAGACAGTTTGTGTTCTATTGCTGGTTATGAATAACAGATGATGCCGCGTGGCTGCAGTAGGGCCATGTGATTTTGAAATTCTGAAATTTTAACACTTAAATCTGGAGGGATTTCTGCCAAAAGCCACTGGGTTTCGAGATTTGCTCCTGAGTCTCTGGGATAATGGCCATTGAGCAGCTTGATCAGGAGCCAGAGAGGCCATTCGTGGGCGATGACTTGGGGTCTCGTTGGGGTGGGGAGGACAGGCCCGGCTCCACCCCCATCCTGTGAGGCCCAACAAGTTTCGTTACTGTGGACCCAGACCTGACTATCCAATGGCCTCTGGAGGATGACGACCACCGAGCCGCCAAGGGGGAACAGGTGGAGGGACAACACCCTTTTCCCCCTGGGGTGGCCCAGCAACAATAACCTACTGCGTGGTCCGGACACATTTCTGCCAAAAGCCGCTGGGTTTCGAGATTTGTTTCTGAGTCTCTGGGATCAAGGCCATTAAGCAGCTTGATCAGAAGCCAGTGGGGCTGTTCGTGGGAGATCACTTGGGGTCTTGTTGGGATGGGGAGGACAGGACCGGCTCCCCCTCCCCCTCCCCCCCAATCCCACGAGGCCCAACAAGTTTCGTCACTGCAGGCCCAAGCCTGACTGTCCAGTGGCCTCTGGAGGATGACTGCCACCGAGCCGCCAAGAGGGAGCAGGAGGAGGGACAACACCCTTCCCTCCCTGGGGTGACCCGGCGACAGTAGCGTATTGCGGGGTCCGGACGCAATTCTGCCAAAAGCCACTTGGTTTCGAGGTTTGTTTCTGAGTCTCTGGGATCAAGGCCATTAAGCAGCTTGATCAGGAGCCAGAGAGGCCGTTCGTGGGCGATGACTTGGGGTCTCGTTGGGGTGGGGAGGACAGGACCGGCTCCCCCCACCCTCATCCCGTGAGACCCTGCATGTCTCGTCACTGGGGCCCCTAAACTGACTGTCTGATGGCCTTTAAAGGATGGTGGCCACTGGGCTGCCAGGGGGAACAGGCCAAGGTACAAAACCTATTCCCACCTGGAGTGGCCCAGCACTGTTAACCTACTGCAGGGACCAGACGCATTTCTGCCAAAAGCCGCTGAGTTTCCAGATTTGTTTCTGAGTCTCTGGGATCATGGCCATTAAGCAGTTCAATCAGGAACCAGAGAGGCCATGCCTCCAATTATTTAGCTGAGCCGGAGGTGGTTTGTGGGTGTGTCTCCCACAACTTTTGGCCATTTACTTTCTTGGTAAACTTTGCCCCAAGTTTTTGGGGTCTGGCCAAAGGCTCAGCAGCAATTTGGGGTATCTGAAAGTCTGAAGGTGCCATCAGGCTGCTGATGCACTCGCCTCACAGGTGCAGATTGACCTGCTGGCGGCACCAGACCCCCTATTTTGGTAACTTTTGTTTTTATTTTTGTTGTGGTACATATCTAGCTGTGCTCAGGGCTTAACCCGGCTCCGTGCTCAGGCATTGGTTCTGCTGGTGCTGAAGGAACAGGGACGCTAGATTGTGCCAGAGGTGAAACCCAGGTTGGCTGTACGGAAGGCAAGCACCCTACTCGACATGCCATCTCGCTGCCCCTATTTGGGTAACTTTTTTGAGTGTGTTTTTTGGGGGGGTGACAGAAAAGGTGGCACATCTCGTGATACTCAGGGCTTACTCCTGGCCCTGCTCTCAGGGATCACTTCCGTCAGCTTCTCGTGACTGTACAGGATGAAGGGTCGGCTGCATACAAGGCAGACGCCCTTCCTGCTGTACTATCTCTCTGGCCCTGTTTTGGCAACTTTCATTTTAAACATTTCTTTGGGGTTTGGGGCCGCAACTGCTGGTGCAAAAAGGCTCACTTCCTTTTTGTGTGCTCAGGGATCACTCCTGGTGAGGCTCAGGGGCCCTACGGGATGCTGAGAATTGGAACTGGGCAGGGCATGTGCAAGGCAAGTGCTTATCAGCTGTATTAGCTCTCCTGTTCGTTCTAGGGGCAGGGAAATAGCTCTGTTAGAGAGCACTTGCTTTGCATGTGTGAGTTCCTGGGCTCATAGCACAGTGGTAGGGTGTTCTCCTTACAAGCGGCCAACATGGCCGACCCGAGTTCGAGTCCTCCACCCCTCTTGGAGAGCCCGGCAAGGTACCGAGAGTATCTCGCCCCCACGGCAGAGCCTGGCAAGCTCCCCGTGACGTATTCGATATGCCAAACACAGTAACAAGTCTCACGATGGAGACGTTACTGGGCCCGCTCGAGCAAATCGACGATCAACGGGAGGGCCTTTACCTTTACCTTTACCCAAAAAAGTGATTTTTAAAATAATTTATCTGTTAAATTACTGTTTAATTTAAACTAATTTATCTGTTGAATTATGTTGAATTGAAATATAGCCATATTTTTCTTTCCTTTTTAAAAATTAGAAAATTTGGTGGGCTGGAGTGATAGCACAGTGGTGGGGCGTTTGCCTTGCGCACAGCCAGCCCGGCCAATCCGGGTTCGATTCCTCTGCCCCACTCTGAGAGCCCGGCAAGCTACGAAGAGTAGCTTGCCCACACGGCAGGGCCTGGCAAGCTCCCCATGATGTATTCAATATGCCAAACACAGTAATAAGTTTCAAAATGGAGATGTTACTGGGCTCGCTCGAGCAAATGGATGAACAACCGGAGGACAGTGACAGTGACAGAAAATTTGGGGGTGGCTGGAGTGATACTATGGCACAGAGCCAGGAGTAATCCCTGAGCATCACCAGGTGTGGCCTGAAAGCAAAACAGAATTGTTTTTCTTTTTTTTGGTGGGGGTTGGGAGGTGGGTACACCTAGTAGTGCTTAGGGCTTTCCTGGCTCTGCGCTCAGGGATTACTCTTCGTGCTGGGCACCTATATGGGGAGCCAGGGATCCAACCTGGTCGGCCTTGTGCAAGGCAAACAAACCCCTTACCCACTGTACTATTGCTCTGGCCCGATGCTAATTTTTCTGATGACCACTTTCTTTAGTTGGTTTTTGGGGCCACATCCATTGCTGCTCAGGGCCTTATCCCTGCTCTTCTCTCTGGAGTTATTTTTGGGGATCCCTGTGGTGCTGAGGATTGAATTTAGGCCTCTGGGATGCAAGCATATACATAACCCATTGAGCTGGTAACCACGTTTAAAAAAGTGACGGTCTGAAGCAGTAGCACAGCGGCTGACTCGAGTTCAATTCCCAGCATCCCATATGTTCCTCTGAGCACCGCCAGGAGCAATTCCTGAGTGCAGAGCCAGGAGTAAGCCCTGAGCATTGCTGGGTGTGAATCAAAAAAAAAATTAAAAGAAATAGGAAAAAGTGAGCTGTACAGATAGTAGAGAGGGTAGGGCACTGTGGCTGATCCAAGTTTGATCCCCGGCATCCCAGATGATGACCTCCTGAGGACTACCAGAAATAATTCCTAAGCACAGGGGTAACCCCTGAGGATCACTAGTTGTGGCCTAAAAAAACAGAGAATGGAACAGGGGCCATAGAAGCGGCATGTGTTAAAGCAGATGCCGGGCTTGCACAGGGCCCTGAGGTCAGTTCCAGTTCTACGTGCCCCTAGCCTCCCCTTGTGGGGGCTCCCCTTTCAGATGCGTAACACAGGCCAGCCCTGGAGATGCTAGATTGCATTCTTGCCCATCTGATCCCCTTCGCTGCTGGCTGTAGCCTGGTGTCCCCAGCAGTGCCGGGCCAGGTAGCCCAAGTGTGAGGGGTGAGCCAGACCTTCAGACCCTCACTCTGGCTGTAGAATCTCTGGGAGTGGTCCCCAGGGGCCTTCAGCACTTTTGGGAAATCCCCCTAAAAGAAGCAAAGCATAGAGCCAAACCAAACCAAACCCAAACCCTCTAATTAAAGGCAAATTGATGAAATAGAAGAATTAAAAATTCCTTATGGTTTTAGATTTCATATTTCAGGAAAAACACAACTTTAGGAAAAATTAACTTTCCTCTTTTGGTATGGTATTAATAGTGAATATGCATCTTTTTTCTTAAAAAAAAAAAAAGCCATAAGAATTCCCAGCCTTTGTGCACATAATAAGCTAAGTATGTTATTTATTTACTTTTGGTTTGTTTGGGGGCCACCCCGGCAGTGCTCAGGAATTATTCCTGGTGGTACTTGGAGGACCACAGGGGATGCTGGGGACTGACCCCGGTGTGCCACATGCGCGAGGCGAGCGCCCTCCCTGCCGTCACATTGTTCCAGCCGCTCCAGCCTCCGTTTTCGTTGCTTTTTAAAATGCTCTCATGTGAGCTTTTATTCCCCTCTGACGAAACTTGTGTTCTCTCTTGAGAGAACAGGTGTCCTGTCCCCTCACACCTTTCTAAGTTTCTTCGAATAAAATGATTTTGCTTCACATAAAAGAAATGCTCTTGTATGGATCGTGAACGTTCCTCTTGGTGAGTAGACATAAAATTCTTACGCTTTAATCATTGTCTTTCAGTACCATGCGGGAGACGATGAAGTACGTTTATGGACACCATGGGATTCGAAAAGGATTGTATCGTGGTTTATCTCTTAATTACATTCGCTGCATCCCATCTCAAGCAGTGGCTTTTACGACGTACGAACTTATGAAGCAGTTCTTTCACCTGAACTGAAAAAAAAAACTGATTTATTTTCCTTTATTCTCAGAGCTTAGAAATAAAATGTTAACTTTAATTTTGGGGGCACATTACTTGAAGGGGGATATTTGACCTCTTACAGGAAGCACTTGTATTTCAGTACTTGATTTTCTCTATCACAAATCAGAAGTGCTTACTCTACTTCTTGATGCCAAAAGTTATACCTTTGAACACTGGGGGGCAGTCTCCTCTGTAGATGCTGATGCTAGCTAATCAGTTAGGTTATTTGAGACCATTTTAAAGTGTTATTTGGAAATATGGTAAAGGTAAAGGTAAAGGCCCTCCCGTTGATCGTCGATTTGCTCGAGCGGGCCCAGTAACGTCTCCATTGGAGACTTTGTTGTTACTGTGTCTGGCATATCGAATACTCTTGGTAGCTTGCCGGGCTCTCCGAGAGGGGCGGAGGAATCGAACTCGGGTCGGCCATGTTGGCCGCTTGTAAGGCGAACGCCCTACCCGCTGTGCTATCGCTCCAGCCCTCGGAAATATGACTGACCTCATAACGGGACTGAAGGGATGGGGGTTTCTTCACTGGTAGAACACAGGCCACATATGCATGAGTTTGTTTCCTAACACCCCTGCAAATGGGGGATCCTAAAGGGTCTTTAGCTCTATCACGCTATTTCAAGCTCTTCGCTATAATCATGATTTTCAAGGTTCTCGGTATGGTTATTATTATGATAGGGATGGTAATATTGTGGTGAAAGATAAACTTGGTTACATTACAGCAGAATGGTGTGAACAGAATTTTTTAGCAGTGTAGAAGTCAGCATGAAAGCGTTTTTCTTACTCTCTTTTTATATATCTGTTCCACTCACTAAAAGGACAAACACATTTTTCTTCATTTTGGAATTAAATGTTTGTATTTAAAATGTAGCCATGTAGCAGTTCAAGTGAATGAGGAATATTCAGGTATGGCTCATTAGTTATCACCGGGTAATATGAATAATTTAAATATTTTTTAAACATCAGTGTATTTTCCAAAGGCAATAATATTACATAATGAATATCTTTCGAAACCAATTAACATTTTAGATTAGTTTTTATTAGGTAATTGGTTATATACTCAACACTTTATTTAAGTGGACTGTGAAATATCCATAAGCGTAGATGTGAATGTCTAAGTGTTTTATATTATATCATGATATATCAACTAGTTCTTCCATGTAAAATAATTTTAGTGCAATATAAACTTAAGTAGAAATGTGAAAAACAGGAATTGTTATCCTTTATATTAAAATGGTATAAACTGTAAGAATTTCATTTTCTGTGTTTACTTTTTATATATTTTATTATAAGCATGATAGAAATGAGGGGAACAATTCTGTCCTCAGAAATAGCATTTTAGTAGTAAAGGTGCATAACTTTGTATACCAAAAGCATAAATATTAGCACTATTGTAAAAAAAATACATAAAAAGCATCGTAATTTGTAAAATTATGACTTTTTAGACATTAGAAAATGAAGTTGAAAGTGTTATTTCTGCTTCAGTTTTTATTTTTTGCATAACAGATTTCTTACCATATCTTCACAAAAATTATATAAACTGATTTCATTTACAAAATATTTAAAAATAAATACATAAATTTGTATGGTTTATAAGTGTGCTTGCACATAGAAAAGTAGAAATGCATGTGTTCCTGAAACTATTTTGTATATTTTCTGTTTGGGGCTACACTGTAGCAAATATGATTATCAAATTTCAGGTTACTTTAAGTGTATAAAATAAGTATCCCAGTCTGTTACCAATAAAAGGGGACTACACGTAATTAATTTTTAATCAAAGTTTACATTCTATATTGTAGAATCATAGAATATTAAAAATAAAATTTATTTGCATTTCAGCAGTTATTCTCTAAATTCATCATCATTATATTATTAATTTTGGTCATACCTGGCAGTGCTTAGGGCTTACTCTGGGCTCCGTGCTCAGGAATCACTCCTGCTATGTTTGGGGAACCATATTGGTACCAGGGCTCTAATCCGAGTTGGCCGCTTGCTAGGCAAGAGCCTTATCTGCAGTACTAGCTCTTCAGTTCCCCCTGTGTCACTAATTAAAAACGTTTTTTTCTGGGACTTGAGAGATGGTTCAATGGTTGGAACACAAGCTTTGAATATCGGGGCCCAGGTTTGATCCCCAGCCCTCTGGGACCACGAGGGGCAGTCCTTGAACTGGGAGTTTCCCCTGAAGACATAGGAATATGCCATCTTGCTCCCCCACACCTTAACAGTCGAAAAAGATTTTCTGTTCAACAGTTTTGGGGGTGGGGGTGGGGCTAGATCTGGCTGTACCCGTGGGGTACTTACGTCCAACTTAGGAGTTGCTTCTAGCACTGCTTCGGGCATTGAAAGTGGCGCTTGGTGCAACATATGTGCTTGGCCTATTGGGTATCTCTCCAGCGCCTGGAGGAATCTGTTACTACTACTACTACTACTACTACTACTACTACTACTACTACTACTACTACTATTACAGCTGCTGCTACTATATTTTGGTTTCGGGGCCATACCCCGCTGTGCTCAGAGATCACTCCTAGAGGAGCGTGGGGATTGTTTGTGGTGCCAGGATCAATCCTGGATCGACACTGTTCAAGGCAAGCTCCTTACCACCGCTTTATTACTTCAGCCCCGTAGACAAACTGTCTTACACAGGACAAATGGCACACTGAGTTTCGCCATGATCAACCCCTACTCGTCATGTGAGACCCCTCCTTTCTCCGCGAGGCTTCAGTCCCTGTCCCACTCATTAGTTTAAGAATATAAAATATTAACCCACTTAGGCAGGAGCAGTAGTACAGTGTGGGTAACTGCACTTGCCTTACATGCCATTGACCTAGGTTTGACCCAGCACCAGCACCATATATGGTCTCCCGAGCACCACCAGGAGTGATCCTGAGCGCAAAGCCTGGAGTAGGCCCTGAATACCTCCAGTGTGGCCCCAAAACTGACTGCACTGCACTGTCCTCCCATTGTTCATCGATTTGCTCGAGCGGCACCAGTAACGTCTCCATTGTGAGGCTTGTTACTGTTTTTGGCATATCTGATACTTCACGGGTAGCTTGCCAGGCTTTGCCGTGCGGGCAGGATACTCTCGGTAGCTTTCCAGCTCAATAAGATAAACAAAAAACCCAAGGGAAGAGATGGTTCAAAGGGGTGGAGCCATGCTTGTTATTTAAGGCCATGACGGTACTACATTACCCCTGAGCATGGCACAGCTCGGGTGGCCTCAGCACTGCCTAGATGCTCCTATTAAAAAGAAATATTGGGGCTGGAGAGATAAAAAAAAAAGCAGGTAGGACATGTGCTAGTCATGTAGCCAAACCTGCCTTCAATCCCAGTCTCTCCATATCGTCAGTCCCCTGAGCTCTGCCAGGAGTGATCCACGACCAACATTAGGGATCACCCCCCAATAAACGAAAACCAAAAAAGGAACGCGAGGGCTGGGGAGATAGAAGATACGATTCTTTCCTGAAGAGTGGCCTCGTGCTTTGCTCCTCAGCTGTGCCGAGAGAGGTGCTGCACCAGGCCAGGCTGTCAGCTCCTGGACAGACAGCCATAAGCTAGACAGATTCCAGATCAGGAATCATTACACTGAAAGCAAAAACAACCTAGGGATTAGACTAGGATGAGAGAGTTTGGAACCCTTCTCTGAGCAGTCTCTTCACGGGCCCAGAACCGTTGTCTTCTGACTTCTGACTTGCACAAAAATGGACTCGGTGGCCTTCAAGGACACGGCTGTGAACTCAGCCAGGCAGAATGGGCTTTGCTGGGTCAGGCGCAGAGGTGCCTCTACAGAGCCATGATGCCAAAGATCTGGAGCCACCTGGCCCTTGTGGAGGGTTGCACTAGTAAAAAGACAGTGGTCCTCTTGGGGGTGCCGTGGAGGTTGAATTGGTCAGTGAAGACAGCACCATAAAGCTCGTAAGCTGTTTGTGGAGAGAAGCGATTTTCCCTGACTGGTGATCCGCAGCAAACCCAGAAGCGGTGGCTGAAATGCCTCTTGGACAATCTTGGTGACCGTTACGGAGCTTCTGGTGGGTGCAGGAGGAACCCCGAGGCTGACTTAAAGCCTCCCTGGCCCCAAAGTACTGTTGCCACCCCCTCTCTGGGGTGTTCTTCCCCCTCCCCCCTGCACACACGGCCCCACCTGCGTCTCTGCACGGCTCTCTTCATGTGAACTGACTCGGGGGTGTCTCCTTATTCGACTGCCCAAGTAAGAGACCCCTTTTCCCGATCAGGGTGCCAGGAGAACCTCAGGCAACACCGACAGTGGATCCCAGGCACCCTGACCCCAATGCCTACGAAGTGTGTGTGGAAACCTTCAGATGCAACTTTGTCCTGGCCTGTCACATCAGGGAGCACCACGAGGGGGAAGGGCTTCTGCTACCTCACGTACCTGCAGGAGCCCGCCAAGACCCACGCAGGTTTTGAGAAGCTCTTTATTTATTTATTTATTTATTTATTTATTCATTTGCTTTTTGGGTCACACCTGGCGATGCTCAGGGGTTACTCCTGGCTTTGAACTCAGGAATCACTCCTGGCTGTGCTCGGGGGACCATATGGGATGCTGGGAATCGAACCTGGGTTGGCCACATGCAAGGCAAACGCCCTACCCACTGTGCTATTGCTCCAGCCCTTTGAGAAGCCCTTTAAATGCCCCAAGTGCCACCAGGGGTTCAGGTACCCCTGTAAACTGCACGCAGGTGTCAAACCTTCCCAGTGTGAGTGATGTGGCAAAAGCTTCAAGTCGGACTGAAGCTCTGCCCGCGGGGCCCCAAGTGTGGCAAGGAGTTTCGGCACAACCATTTGCTGACCGAGCACTGGTGCATCCATCGGGCAAGCAGTCCTAACTCCTGTCCACAGTGTGGGAAAGACCTCCGCTGCATGGTCACTCGCCAGGGTCACCTGGTGACAAACATGGCCGAGGCCTTTTGAGTGCTGGGAGTGCAGCAAGGCCTAGCGATGCCACTCCCATTTCTTTCTTTTTTTTTTTTGACATAATCAGTTGGTTCTTAGGGCTTCGTCCTGGGTCTACACTCAGGGATCACTTCCGGCAGTGTTTGGGGGACCCTCTGGGGTGCTGGGAATCTGCTGCATGCAAGTCAGTTTCCCTGCCTGCTGTATTTTCATTCCAGTTTTGCCATTCCCAGTAGGCCAAGGGTCCCTCATGGAGAGAATCTGGTTTATTCTAGCCGACCCTCCCCCCTCCCTGCCACTATATCATTGCCCTTTAAGGAATGGGGGAGGGGGGGTG